AATGGGACAGCCAATGTCATAAAACTTGGTAAATGGGGTGCAGAGTAAGTCTGGATTGCCGTCTTACCCTGCCCCTATACTGGCTGCCAATCATGCGACTTTAAATGTCGATCATTGTTTAGTTCCCATGTCAACTACACCGCCATCCTCACCTCCTCCATCACCATCTGGTACGCTGCTGCCACTGCCAGGGACAAGGGCAGGCTGCAGCGTATCATTCGCTCTGCAGAGAAGGTGATTGGCTGCAATCTTCCTTCTCCTCTGGACCTGTGCCCTAGGAAAGATTGCATCTGACGCCTCCCACCCCGGACACAAACTGTTTCAGAATCTCCCCTCTGGCAGGAGGCTGCGGTCCATCAAGACCAAAACCTCTCGCCAGAAAAAACAGCTTCTTCGACGTCTGCAGCCTCATTAACAAGGCCCGGGTCCCCCACTGACACTCCCCCCTTGCAAATGATACAAATGTCTAAGAACATGTAAATACTGTTTCATCTCGTGTCGGGCACAGACCTGGCACGTCGCACATATTTGTTGTTGATTGTTGATCTTTGTTGTTGTATACTTCTATGTTGTCAGTTTATATATTTATATGTACACAATATTCTCTTCTGTTGCGTTACTTCTGCACGGCACAGACCCAGAATAATGCACGTTTATGTCTGCAGCTTTGTTCTTCCATTCCATATTTATTTATTTCTCCATTTATTTATGTCAACTGTATGTTTGTCTACGTGTAGCACCTTATCACCACAACCTTGTCTCAAAGAAATTATTCAGAATCCATGGGGCCCACGTGATTCCTGATTAGATGTCACCTTTTTGTGCAGAGCTGGGGTCAGTTTGTTGGTGAGGATGTCCGGTGCTTGAAAAGTATGGAGCAAGAAACTGAATGTCTTCTTTTCTCCCACACATTAGATCTGCCTTATAATCTAAATGAGTTGCATCTGGATCAAAATCAAATTCAGGCTATCGAGTTAGAAGACCTGAGGCGGTATGCACAATTGTACAGGTAAGTGATTAAATGACATTGCAAGATCACACACAGTGCTCTCTCTCTCAGCAGTGGTAAATCAGCCATTTGTATATATTTCTGTTCCATGAATTTTTCACTGGTTCCCATTTTCTTCCATTTTACCTGCACAAAACCTTGGTGCCGTCCTTATGTAAATAAGGACAAACACAATTAGACTGTTTAGCACCTAAAGAAGTACAGATTTGTATTTATCTTATTGCGTATATGTGTATACACCTTTCCTGGTATAGGCTGGGCCTTGGGAACAACCAGATCCGCCATATTGAGCATGGCAGCCTGTATTATGTGCAGAATCTCCATGAACTTCATTTGGATAATAACCTGCTGTCCCATGTGCCTGCTGGTCTGCCAGAGATGAAACACCTGCAGGTCAGTATGACATGCACCAACGAAAAACAGAAAATGCACATAGATTAAAAAGATTCACTAACTTTAGCTCATCCTACTGATATTTGAGGCAGAACCAGAGCCAGATAAATGAGTTAAGTGTGTGTCATTTGGGGGTCAAATATCTCATGACTCTGCAGTATATTAATATTGGTACTACAATGAATACATTGACCAACAGCAGGCTGCTTGTAAAACATTGCTGCAATCAGAGATTATGAGGCATACTTACTTCAGTGTATATTTGTGTGTTCCTCTAGGTAGTCTACCTGCACTCCAACAACATCAGCAGCGTGGACGTGAATGACTTCTGCCCTAAGTCCCTCAGCATGAAGAAGACGGCATATAACGGCATCAGTCTTTTCAGTAATCCCATCCAGTACTGGGAGGTGCAGCCTTCAACGTTTCGCTGTGTTAGCAGCAGCTTGGCCATACAGTTTGGGAATTATAATTAGCATTGTCCTGTTTATTTAACCTTTTTAACCCGGATCATATTTGCATAGATTTTTTACGATGGTCATTACAACACTCACACGGGGAGGCCGCTTAACGTAGCTTCTCATCAGAACAACATGAGTATCCATGGGCTGAAACAATGAAGCCCTCGGCACAGATGCATATTGGCCACCTTCCTCCCTATCAGTGTCCTGGAACGTTCCCAACTCACAAACTGCTACTAATATTGTCTGGGAAAGGATTTTAAAAAAGTATAATTATGAGGTGACTCACACAGTAAATAATTAATGTTAAAATTGAATGACCATTTGGGCAAAAAGAGCACTGGCCCCAAAGCCCAAGTGTATTACTTTATTTGTGTCAATGTGCACCACTTAATCACAATTTTTTTCGCAATTACATGGTACATAAGCCTATTAAACTTTGTGTTCATTCTGACCACAAATTAACATGACACACACTCAGAAACCTGGGCACAGGTAGTACTTCAGCAAGCACCCGGCAAAATATAATAAAGTTTGGCACTCACACACATTCTGCTCTCTCAAGATGATACTTGATATTTGGGGAATCTGTAACTTGTTCATCTGTGCTGCAAATGTTTCTTTTTCTGGCAGGTCTGTTTTTTCATTTCTTGTTCCCACCACCCTCTTCTTTATTACTGTAAAATGTTGAAAAACAATAAAAGTAATAAAAAAAAAAAGATACAACAAGATAAAAGTACTGAAAGTCATGCACTCTAACAATCATTTTCCTCATTGAAAGAAAAGAGTTAAGGCTTCCCATTTTTAAAATATCTCTAGGGCTGTTGCTAAGTCAGGTATGATATAACTTAAATATAATATAGATATATGAATGAGGCTGAAAAAGGGTTTCACTAAGTAAATATAAAAATGGCCACTGAAAGGTCACACTCTTGAATACTAACATCCTGTCTTTGGAAAGAGTGGCTCTCAAAAAGTCATTCTGAGAATCTATTCATATAATTATGGTTATTTACCCAGTCATAGTTGATTTTTAGATTTGTATATATTTTCAAGAAAGAGCTAAACAGTAAAGTGCAAATAAAAATACCTATAGATATGTTGACAGTTTTTTTATTTATTTTTTATTTTACCTTTATTTTACCAGAAAGGAAATCCATTGAGATTTTTAATCACTTTTACAAGGATGTCGTGGCCAAGATGTGAAACAGCACACAGTGCAAGGTGCAAACAAGGCATTACATGTACAGCAACATTATTCATAAAAGTAACAGTATTATTAATTTTTTTACAACAAAGTATCAGATAAAAAGACATAAAAGTACAATGAAATTTAAACATATCTTAATTTGACTAAATGTCACAGGTGCAAGATGTGTTTAAAACCTCTGACAGTTTTTGTTTGGATACAGGAATAAGAGACTCCAACTTCAACTTGAGCTGCAGATCATTCCAAGACCATGGGCCAAAATAGGACAGACTCATTTTTCCTGACTCTGTACGCACAAAGGGCGCTTTAAACCGCAGCCAGCTACTGGCCCTGAGACTGTGTGTGTTCTGGAGGGCAATCAATTTACAGTAGATATATGAATGGCTTTGTATATGAAAATATACCAATGCTTCATCCTACAGTTCAACTTTCTTTAAGCCCATAGGAAAGCAAAATCCAAGATGAGATCTCATAGTTGTTTTCTTCTTTTCTCCTAGACACAAATAAGCTACTTTTAATACCAAGGTGAGACCAAAGGCCTTTTCTCCCACTTCTCAAATTCATCTCAGGAGAAACAACCATATAAAATCTCATTTATATCTGACTCTGATCAAAACAAGAGCTCTCTAACTGATCTTAAATAAGTCTCCTGAACATTGGACCATGAGATCAGAGAAAGAGCTCAAAGAAAACTCAGCTATGATTCCTGGGATCCCATGATTCTTCTGAAATATGTCTCAGTTTTCTCATATTGGGCTCAGGAGCAAAAAACTCATCTCTGTCTTACTCTGATCAAAAGATGAGCTCTCTACAGTATCTTAAATTAGTGTAATTTCAGTCTAAACAGAGTGGATCAGAAAAAAAGCTCCAAGACGTTTTGTCTTAGTGATCCCACTTAGGGGTTATTTTACTCAAGTACTTTACTTACGTCAAATGTTGAGGTTGAGTATTCTCTTTTTATGGGGGTTTGTACTTTTACTCCCCTTAATTTCAAATCCTTATTGTATTTATTGTTAATTATCTGCTAAAAGTTATTGAGAAAAATAAAATAAATGACATTGACATTGAAAATAATGCACTTTCAAATGTCATGCTTTCCAATTTGTGAAGTTAGTCACAGCCAGCATAACTGGAACACCCAATACTTTGACATGACGTTTAGAGATTAATTCATTAATGACCGAATGCAGACAAGAGCTGAGATACAACAAGTATCTGTCACACAGAATAAGCACTTAAGTACATACTTAAGTACATTCACTATGGAATATTTTTATACCTTTTACTTGAGTAGAATTTTGAGGACTTTAAATGTGGATATGGTATTTCTCCTCTTTTAAGTAAAGGAAAATTGTACTCTATTTAAAGACAATAAGTCCTTCATTATTATTTTTAGTTGGATAGCGCAGCCCTTCAAACAGCAGGAGCGGGGTTCAAATCCAGCTCAGGGCCTCCAGCACGGTTCTCCAAGAACAGACAGTAATGTGATACAATCAAGCTCACAAACATCTCCCCAGAGCTCCCGACTGCTTTTTAGGAGCAGTAAGCAAGACATTAATGAACTCAAAAAGATACAACGATGACATCTCATCTGTTACTTTCATTTATCCTGTTGTAATCTCAATTCAGTATCCATTTGTCTTACCCAAGTCTCAAAACCTCAATCTCTCTTCATCTCATCCTTTTCTCCTAAGGGGTTTTAGGAGCAACAATTCAGTTTGGAGTGATCTCAAAAAGATATACTATTGAGATCTTAGTGTTTCTCAAGAGTTAAAGAAAAGACTATTCTGAGCAAAAGATTTTTCCTCTGGGAGTGTAGCTTTGTTGACGTGTTATTCTTGATTGAGAATTGTTGTTGAGGTAGTTGTGGTAGTGTAATGTCTTAGCCAATCAGCTATCTTTCTTTCACCTCAAATAACTTCCAAGCAACAAACAGCCCAAACCAGATTCTCACACAACACACCCTGTAAGAGCAAGTTACCTTTCAACAGCCACCACATTCCCCACGCCAATTTACCAGGAGTGAGCTATGGATTATCTGAAGCAGGTAAGAACCAACAACACAAAGATCAGCTCTGAATTATCTTGCAATGGCACAGAATTAATAACAGTGAAACAACAAAAAAATTTAGTATGATCGGCCAGCTTATGATTTTATGGCATGAGAGCTGTTGCACCTTATTCTCGACTCAGACTTTGTTATTCTGTAGGTAATATAATGTAAAGTTATCAGTGTAATGTAATAGAATGTGCTAATATACCAATGTGACTTCAGCCATTTGAACTGTGAGATTGTCAAACTATCTTTCAAAGGAATATATGAAGAACCCTGTTAAATACTTCCTGCAGCATTACATTATATTAAATTGCCATCATTCTGCAGTTACTTTTGTCCAGAGACTATTACTAAGGAACATGTGACTCTGCCCGGAATGAATGTAATGTAGCTAAACCTGCCTTCACACTTGATAGGGAGTGGAGCAGGGTGGAGACTTGTTAGAAACTGCTTCTTTTATTATTATTTACTTTCGTGTGTTTTTTAATAAACGCAGATTGATGGAATTGTGTCCACTGCCAAATTTGGAGACTTGATAGAATTTTCCTATCCCATCGGCTATTCACACTGGGGAGTGTATGATGAAGATGGATTTGTAATCCATTTTGCTGTAGCAGGTGAGGACAACATCCAGTACATGTCATTGCTGCCATGACATTAAAAGCCCCATTGATTTTCTGATCATGTAGGTACTCACATTATGTAACTTAACAGTTTGACTTATAATAATTGAAAATATGCGGTTTTCTCCTCAAGACTAATGAACATTAGGCTACTGATGTAAGCAGACCATCAGAAAGCATTTTAAATGGAAGAAGAAGAATACACATGTAAAGACAATATCACCTGCTTAAAAGTAGATTTGGACTCAGGGCCCATCTGCAAAGTGGTGCTTCAGGATGAGGTCACAATGCTGGACAAAAGTCCCTGAGGAATATATTTCAGTTGTGAAGGAGTTATGCAGGTTCTGAAAATGTGGTGGACAAAATTGCATATAATTAAATTACTACAAACCAAATGACACACAGTGATCCTGGTACTAGTGCTTCTGGGGGTCCTGGGTCCTGGAGCAGATGCTAGCTTTGCACTGTTTGGTTGATTACATGTTTTGAAATTTGGTGGTGAGTTAGTTGTATATGGTACCATTCTCTAATAAGGCAGATTTTAGAAAGATTTTACAAGGGGCTTTATAAAATGGTTGTATTAGTGTTTAATAAATCATTTAGTGCTGTGCAGATGCAGCACAGACACATAAACCATCAATAAGAAAAATGTGTGTTGCCAGGTTGTGGAAAAAAGCCTTTGGCTGGTGTTATATAACAATAATAATTAATGTTCACTTCTTAATAAATCATTAAGGTTTAAATGTTAACAAAGTCATTGATAAAGGGACACACGTTTCTCAATTTTCTTACTGTCATTTAGTAAATGTTTTTCATCTGGAATTGTAAATGTTAGCTCAATAATAACAGATACTTACACAAATCTTTCACTTTCAAATTCACTTTCAAATTCAAATTGTAAGTGTTAACGAGTTGTTATAAATGTATTTTGGCCCAGATTTTCTGCAGCCTTTTTCCCCGGAAGGTAAGTGGTCGTCCTTTGGAGGGGGTTATACTGATTAACTTGATTTTTAAATGGCAAAACAAATGTGATGCTGGAAGAGGATAAACACCAGCCAAAGGGATTTTTCATAGCTTCACAACCCAAATTACTACATTACATACATTACTACAGTTTGTGCACAGGCCTCCTGTCACAAGTTGCCACAGTTCTCAGACAGTGCCATTCACCGCACTCTGCCTGCTATTGGTTAACAATTTCATGTGATAAGTTGTTGTTTTATGGAAAAGTATTTGGAACGGATGGTTTGGTGTATTATGGTGCTATGTGGTATCAAAGCTAGAGGATACATATTTCATCGTGAAGACTGAAAACTGAGATGATCTAAATTGTTGCACATCCTGAAAGTAAACTGTTTCTTATAACTGTTCTTCTTTAGATCAGGGGCAACTGATGAACAACATACGAACTTCCCTGCAAACAATCTTCCCTGTATGTGGGGACCTTCTTCTTGGGGAAACCAAGATCCGCAGAGTGCCTCTTAGTGAGGTGAACGTCCCAAAAGGAGTCCATGTCTTGATAAGTAACAATCGACATGCCTTCACACCATCAGAGCCTGAGGAAATGAGACTACGCTATGACGCCCTGCTTGATAAGGAACTTCCATACCATCTATTCAATCTCAACTGCGAGCACTTTGCCACATTTGTACGTTATGGAAAAGCTGTGTGCAACCAGGTATACATTTGGCCTTACTGAAATCAATTTACACAACTCTACATAGGATACCCACATTTATCCACAAGGCTTCCATCATACTTAACTACTTAACACAATTCAGTATGTAAAATTAGTTATTGAGTTATATTGGAAAGAAACATTATTACTAATAATACTATTTGTTGTTGCATGTTGTTTTAAGTGGTCCTACATACAATTTAGCTGACCATTAATGACCACTAAGAGACTGTTATTCTGTTGTTCCTCAAACAGATTCCTGCAAGATCCAAGAATGTAGAGTGCGTGAAGGCAACTGCAGTCTTTTCAGACATTGTCAGCACCCATGCACGTCTGAAAAGTGAAGCCAGTGAGGAAGTGCCTTAAACCAGCATTATTTCTAATGGCCACCAGGGGACGACTAAACTTGTTGCAAAAAGAGGTCAGATTGTCCAGAAGTCTGTTCAAAAATGTCCCTACTTCTCAATGGTTTATTTATGAAGCAGCCCATGCTTTAGGGCTTGGCTGCATGTGCAGCATTCGCTTTTGTTTGTTTCTTTGTCTCTTTCTCTCTCTGGTGTGCTCTCTCCCCTCGACCGGGAAAGAGAAAGGGAGTTGGAGGAGAAGGGTGTAAAAGGACGAACATGCCAGACAGCGTGCTGCACAGTTTTACCCAATTGTTTGTCCGGAGCATGAGCTAGATTTTTATTATTTTAGCTTGGGCTGGAGATCTGTTTTGGTCTGGTTTAGATATTTTCCATTAGGAAAAGTGCGATGGCCCCCTGCTTAGCTGGTTCAGGGGCTTCTTTATCATTTGCTCTTTTTGGCTGGGATCCAACCCCATTACTTTGTTTTCTTTTGCACTTTGAGTATTGTCACTTTTCTTAAAAAAATAATAAAGTTTATGGGTTTTCTCCTGTACCTGGTCTTGGTGTCTGTTATATGTTTTAGTCAACAGTTGAGTTTTTATTTGTTTAGAGAGGCTGTTACAGCAAGTCACCACCACCATGACCTGTCAAGTGTTACAATGCTAAACTGTCCCCAGCCCCGCCCCACAATCCAAATATTCAAGGTGCAGGGACCAATACAGATGTGCACATTGTGGAGGGAACCATATGGGAAATGTGAAGAGGGAGTTCAACCAACGTGTTGCAACCAGGGGGTAAGCCACAGTTTGAAGAGTGAAGCTGACATGGAAAGTTCCGTGGGCTGATTAAAAGGCAATGATCCGAATCAGAGTAGACGGTGGTTCCAACACGAAGTAACCCTGTAGTAGTATTTTATTGGTCCAAAACTGGCTTTACTGCTCTCCATTCAAATCTGCGGGGTGGCTTCGTCCAGTAAGATACTGTCTATGGTTGCAACTGTAGGGAGGAGGTGTAGAAACAGGAAGTTTCATTACCTCACATATACTTCATATCTCACATCAGTACCTTTATTGCAGGAGTAATCAACAGTCTTGCTGGAGTGGAGACTACAACTGAGAGATGGAGATCATAAATTATTATAGTCGATGTAGAAGGTTTAAAAAATGACTTAGTATGGAAACTAAATATCAAGTCAATTTGTCATGGAAAATGTGAGCCCAAAAGAGTGTGGTAAGCCTATGAATTATTGATCAGTGACAGATCTCTTTTTGCAGAAGATGAGGCGCCATGGAAAGGGGATTGAAAGGTTTAACAGAATCAAAATTTTCAGTTGAGAAAACAAATACATAAGTCTGCAGGTGTATAGAAGAGTATTGGAGAATGTGCTTTAATTCTAAGGAATAATTTTGACTCTAAGTTAACATGGGCTGATTATGTTAGTGGAAAAGGGTCTAAGTTACAAAAATCTGTGTTTCAATGATTCTGTCTCTGCTTGATTACGTATTGTGTTCATGGTTCAGCCTCAAAAACTACTAAATGCTGTAAGATGTGGTGTGGAGCAGTAAAGTAAACCTACATCCCAAGTCCATATGCGAGAGATGCACTAGATACTAGAAGGAAGCAGTTAATGACCAACTACTGGGCTAACCTCAAAGGACATAAAGAACGGTGCCTCACTGAAGCGGTACACCACTGACAAACGTGTACTTGCTGGAGCTCAAGATGGCAATGCGAGGAAAAGTGGATCTGTAAACAGCCTTTTTAGTTCATGTAAGACCAGTACTCCTAGTAGGAACATTTAAATGCTGATGGTTCAAAAGATGCAGAAGATCTGGGGCTGCTTCTTCAGGTCCTGTTGTTGGAATTGAGCACACACCAAATGATCTACCCAGTGGAGATACTGGCAGTTTTCTTGGCTCTGGATTGGGTAGAGGAGATTAAACTTTTTAACCTGCTCCTATTCTGTTTCAGTTAAAGAGCCACTTATTCAATAAGGTACGTCAATTCTGTTTATGTGTGTTCCTTCACATGTAGGTCTGAAGGGCAAGGTGGAGGTGGACAAGTAAGCAAAACAAGACCCTACTGAGAGACACTAAAAAAAGTCCCGTTGAGCAAATCAGAGGCTATGGGAATAATGTGGAGTAAAGCGGTAGAAGAGTGGCAAGAGCAGTGGAACACTGGAATAAGGAGAAGGGTTTTGTACTGTTTAAATAATAAAGTAAATGTATTTATTAGTATTATTATTTATATAAATATTTAGAAACGTATGTCAAAGTGTATAATAGGTTATTTTGTACAGAGTAAGACTTGGTCATTGAAATGTGGCACTTAAGATATCCAACAGGTTCATGTATTGTCAGGTTGAGGAGTCTGGTGTGAGTGTAAGCATTATGAACAATAAATAAGAGAGGCAACAATATGCAAGAACATATCAGGAAGGCTGGAATTCAGAATCTTAATATAAAAACATTAATGAAACTGTCAAGTGGATTAGGCAATAGACTTTTCTTTGACGTTTTTAGACAAAAATAATGTATGTGTAGAATCTTTGGTACACGCTCACTGGTCCGCAGCAGAAGGTGGCGCTAATGCGCACTGATTGACAGACGCCGTCAAACCCTAAAGAAGAAGAAGCACGCTCGGTAACCCGGAACCGAAGTGCGCTGTGAACTGGACGTTCTTTCATTTTAGCTGAAGAACGAAAATTGTCTGCTTGTTTTCCCCATGATGTCTGTCTGAGGACCAAAAGCATTAAACGAACTCTTATTCCTGGCCTGAAAGAGGCCGTGCCGCACACGAAGAGACTGGGAACATATCTGTTGACCTAAACAATTTAACGGAACCGTTGCCGGTCGTCAAAGAAGCTTTGCTGTTCCTTTAACTTAGACACTGGGAATCCAACTCAGCGTTCTATCGTGTCTGACTCGCCAAGAATATCTGACAAGACAGGAGGTAATGTAAAGTTATGGATAGATACAGATATGTCTTGTTTTGATTGTCTGCTTTACATGGCTTTATGTTAGTTATTTTGGGTGACTTCAACGCAGACAGCAAACGTGGACGAAGGCTAGCGCTGAGCAGTCACAACAAACCAAGACGCAAATCAAGGGGATAAGCTAGCTTGGGGAATTGTGCGCAGATTTACGGTACTATGGCAAATTAGTCGCACATAGCAGAGCACGGATCAGAGCCCGGCTCCCCGTGTTGTTGTGTAACGTTCGCGACAACACATCAACCTCTTGCAGCTGTTTTTTAATTCCCAGGTAACTATCGTTAGCTTGCTAGCTAACTTCCGTTATGTAGCTAGTCACCTAGCTAACACAGTAGTTGTTAGCTTGTTATGTATTTTGCTAACGTCATACAGTTGGATATGTTATGAAGTGTGTGTTTGTTTGGTGTCCTGTAGAAACGGTCTCCTATGAGTTATTATGTAAGTGGCAGCAGCGTTGTTACAAAGATGCGGCTCTTGTATTTACATAATACTGCGTTAGTTAGCTAAATTAGCCCTAGCCAGCGTTATTATGGTGATTGTATTCCCAAACGGGCTTATGATGATTTCATTCCTAATGGTGATTTCCTTTGTTCATAACTGTATATTTCTGCACCGTGTGTACTTCACGAACAGCAGAGAGGTGGCATTTTTAATGTAAAAAAAAAAAAAGTCCGTTGATTTTTGACCAGATGTCTAGACCCGACTGACCGATTATGGTGTACAATTTAGTTTTAACCAGCCAAGTATGTCAGAATTCTCTGTTTCTTTAGTTTCTTTATCGTTCATTGTGTTTCCAGATGTTTTTATTTGTTACGCAAATTATTGATCCATTAGCCATGGAGTCAATAGGACAGTAATGTTGTAGGCCTGTGTCACGACACACATTTTGACTTTAAATTGTCAAACACGTAGATGAGGCCCCCCTTCACTTCAAGTGTTTTTGTAAGCCGTGACATTGCCGCAGTGAGCAAGCATACACAATACCAGGACCCCTAAACTGAAACTATTAAATGGAATTTAGTCTTCATTAAAAAATTTTACAGCTGTGCTTTTTCTGTGTGTGTGTATATATTGTAATATCACCTAACCCTTAGTTCAAACATTTGCCCTCTTCATTAAATAGATTGCTTTTGCCAGGACTCTATGCTAACTTTTTCCCCAATGACTATATGTGCTCCTAAGTGAAAAAGGGAGCAAAAAGCATAACACATAGTTAATTAATAAACTACTTACTTCTCCTTGTGTGCAATTAGGATGTGAAAAGCAGTGGAGGACTATGGAAGTGGTATCTGAGCACTCCGCATGGGCTTTAAAATAATAAAAAAAAAAAATCAGCACATTAGAAATCTTTTAAAAACATGGACACAGCTTTGAAACACTGATCCCTCATCGTAATGATCCATGAAAGCACTCCTCACAGAAAACTGTACAGTGATTGACGCAGTGTGGCTTGTGAAATTGAGGACTTGTAGTGTTTGGAACCAGGGACGGATACATGATACACCAGCAGCAACTACACAACCCACACCACAATTTATGTAAACAAGATGACGAAACAATATTTATAAAAATAACTTTAGTAAAATAGGACAAGGAGATGTGTTACCCTTAGGAGGCTGCCTAGAAGGAGCCAGTATATCGTTTTAATTTCACATAATAGTAAATCTAATTCTTGTGCTATAGAGCCCTGTTTGCTGTTATTTGTTATGTTGACTCTCTGTTCTGTTTCTCTGAATGTTATAGTACAAGAAAGAATAATTAGTATTTCTGACATTATAGAGATGGCGCTGGAGACCAATGCGTGTGTTTGGAGGTGTATTATGTAGACTAGGTGGTCATTAGGTTATGATCTATGATAACATGATTGTACAGTTATATGTAATCTTCCACTGTCCGTACATAGCTCATCAGTTGACGAAGAGGAAGACAGCAGGAGTTGCAGGGATTCGAGCATCGGGCCCTGAGATGACATCACAGCAGCCACAGCTCCCCAATGCTGTTATTCCTCCCCAGCTTGCCCAGAACTCCTCTGCTCCGCAGGCCCGGCCTCACATTCAGGCAAATCAGCTGGACTCAAGTCAGAGCAGTGCAGGGCCTCTGGACCACAGAGCTCTGACAGGCAGGCCGGGCTGCTCCGGTGTGGCAGCGACCAACGGGGAGGTGGCTAACAGGAACGTTTCTGCCTCCTGCACCAAGTCCAGCTTGTCCAGAAGAGATGGGGGCTTTGAGCCATGGCCCGAGGAAGCAGTGGACAACTCCCATGGGCTGTACTCACTGCACCGCATGTTTGACATAGTTGGAGCCCAGCTGACACACCGGGATGTCAGGGTACTGTCATTCCTGTTTGTTGATGTGATCGACGAGTATGAGCGTGGTGGCATCAGGAGTGGAAGGGATTTCCTGCTGGCCCTAGAGCGCCAGGGTCGCTGTGATGAGACCAACTTCCGACACGTTCTCCAGCTTCTAAGGATTATCACTCGCCATGACCTGTTGCCTTATGTCACACTCAGGAAACGGCAGGCCGGTGAGTACAACAGTGTGAACACTACGGTTACACCATGCTTTAAACACATATTTCATTATTGACAGTTTGTTTTAAATGTCTTACTGTTACTATGTATGTACAGTCTAGATTTTTTGGACCCATACTATTCTAAGATGTCAGAACCACATCACCTTCCTGCATTCATATTTTATGTATAATATGGACTAGAAAAAGATTAGGACATTCTGTAATTGGAACATTTTTCTTGGCACAGCCACACTGAATTTACAAATACCCATGCTGAACCTCTAACAACTAGGGCAGGACCCGAATATTCAAATTCTCGTTGGGTACACACTGGATTTTCAGTTTTGAGATTCGATTATTGAGTTGTTGTTTTTTTCGCACGCCTGACCTCTGCTTACAGCAGTGAACGTAACGCTCCAGTTCACATCAAAGGAAAAACAAAATGAAGCCCTCAGCTGTGTGGGAGCACTTTAAATGCAGTGATGACAGCAGTAGTGTGGAAGTCATAGCGTTTATTAATTTTACAAATGCTTAATTTCATTACAGATCAAGACAGTCAAATTTCCTACATTTTAAAATTAATCAGTAAACTGTAGGCTGGAAACAAACTAACAAACAACATAATGAACACATTTAAATAATGATGTTAGGCCGATGGTATAAGAAGAGCATTTAGTAGGCTCTGCTCTTCGCCTGGCTAAACTACTCCCGGATTCTGCAGACTCTCTCACTCTGGACTCTCAGCTAGGGTTCCCCCTGCTCTGTACATCAGCCACCAACCCGGTTCTGCACGCATCTGTTTTCACTCTACCTCGCTCTTCACCTGCTAAATACCCGATCCTTTTAACCCTGCAATAAATATTCCTCTTTTATCAAACTCCTCCCTTTCTTAGTCCTGCACTTGGGTCTGCTAGCCAAGCCATAACAAAGTTAAAAGCAAAGATTTGGTAATTATCACTTAGTTAGCCTAGCTGTGAGAAGAAACGGAGCGCTCTCTCTCACATACAGACGCACCCATCTCCGCAGTTATCTGTCCACCATCCAATCCGCCCTCACTTCTTGGGCATTTATCCTTCTTCTGCTGTTTTGTTCTGTCTATTAAATACATAGCTGTAGCTCGTAAAATGACAGCCTGCTTATCTACACACATTTAAACAATCGACATAACGGGACCGCTTCGATTATTCTCTGTTAATTGCTGTTGAAGCTCAAAAAATGACATTCGGGACAGCCCTACTCTGAATAAGGGTTCTTGGATACACAGAATTAGTTGCTAGTGAGTGACACGCAGTACAGTGAACCACCAATCACAATACTCTTCTTGATCAGTTTATCACACAACCGAAGCAGGCCCCACCCCTCTTAGTTGTCGACGACAACTTGAAAATAAGTGAGGAACAGGAGAATAACACTGAAACAGTGGATTTGGTTGCAAAAAGAAAAGCAACTTTTGTAAACCACTCAGGTGGCTGGTGTATAGCTGCTCGTTTTATTTTTATCATTTTGTTTAAAATATGTTCACTGCATTAAAGCTCAAGAAAGGCTGGTTTGCACTCAAAAAGGTCTTAAGACTAAAAGGAAAATGTTCAGCTTATTTATTTTTACTTTCTATTTATTTTCCCTACAAAATCACCCCAAGGATGCTTATTCTTTTCAAATAGAGCAATGAAGCCATCAGCAGTATATATCGCAGAAAATAATAATATTCAGACAATATTCAGTGAGTTTTTTCCAATGTCGTGCAGCCCTAATTTGTTCCACTACCATTACAATCCACATCACCTCCACACATACAGTAACGAGCGACGGTAATTCATCGAAGGCCTGAGAAATGAATGAAAGTGTCTGGCAATATATGCAGTTACTGTTAGTGGCTACATTATAAGAAAAACAAACCAGGTTGTGCAGGAGTAAGAGGTATTTTGTGTTTGTGTTACTTATGTTATTACGCTTCTGCTAAATAAAAAAATATATTGTTGCATGAAACATAGCAGAAAAACATATAATCCTCACACGGAACTATGCTATTTCTGAGTCTGTTATGAAACCCAGCTATTGCTTTGCTTCTGTCCACTGTGTTGGACCAACGGTTGTCTCAATTTGCCCTTTGTTGCTTTCTTTTTTGGCCTGCTGACTGTCTGCCGATCTTACTCTTTTCTTCTTGCTTGTAACACTCTGGTGGATGGTGGCTGTTCCATTTCCTGATCCATTTTCTGTAACGGAGCCGTGTGTTTATGGAAAAACGAATGCATTCATGTTAACTCTGAGAAGTTAGTCTATCTATTTTTCTAAAACAACGCTGTCAATGTCGGAGGCCCACCTTCAAATATGCACTGCGCCACAGTTACACGGTAATTCTGTGGGAAACACTGTACTGTGCATTTACAGATGTTTCTGCTGTTTTCACTTAAAGCTAATAAGCCTATTTCTTCCATGCTGGCATTTCACTGACTTGCTGCAACGTAACACTGCCCCCTGGCCATCAGATTTACAATCCGTGATCTCCAATAGCCATGATCAGACAAAATGAAAATACAGAAGATTCACCAACCATCCATCCATGCTGCAGCCAAGCACTTCTGAAAGATAGGCTGTAGCAACCGAAAAGGAAGTCGGTGTGGGTGGACTACATTATTTTTATTGCTTATTTGCAGCAGCATCTCTGCATTCTGTGTATTAATTCCACTGGTTCTAATGTGATGATTAGACTGCAGTTAAGAAAAATAAGAAATTAAACAATAAGAATAATATCAGAATTCCACTGTTGTTTTCAGTGTGCCCAGACCCTGTTGACAAATACCTGGAAGAGACGTCAGTGCGCTACATTTCACCAAGAGGAGCAGTGCAGAGCAAGGACACAGCGCCTCACAGACGAACAGGTGGGTGTTTTGTGTGTTTTAAGTTCCCTCTTTTTTTTTTTTTTTACACTTAGTATTTCTTCAATCAGCAAGAAAAGAGTAAGATTAGTAATATATGCAGCCAATGGAAGGTCCTCATAAAAGTAACTGTGCACAGTGATACAGAAGTTTGATTAACATCAAAACTGTCACTCTCTAGGTCCTCAGCCAGTCATTTGCTGTTCCCCGTCAGGACCCCATGTTGGCCCTCCCCGAACAAAGCCAGCTCCTCCTGTTCCAAACCGCAAACGGAGGAGAAGTCATTCCTCAGCTGACTGCAGAGAGAAGCAAACATGTGGTAAAAAGAAACAACATAGAGAGGGATCATCGTTTTTGTCTGGCCTCAAAGAGTATGATAACAAAAACATGAGCCCAGTTCAGTGACACTGGTTTATGTTAGCATGTTTGCATGTACCTAGAAACCGGGATACTCTTTAATGCGTGTGTTTACATGCCTTAAGTAACCAGGTTGTAGTCTGCTTTTCCCAGTCAGCTGATATATATATATATTTTTTTAAACGTCATTTCAGTGAGAATAACCGGGATGTGGACTTGGAGGAACCTAATTTCGCCAGCTAGATTCCTCCTGGAGAATGCTAATTTCTCTGCAATCTAACTGCGAAACCTGTTTTTTACACACATGCAGAACAAGGACAGGTGGATGCAAAGAGCGAGCGTAACGTTGCGATTCATCCTCTCTAATTCCATCCAAATTCCAACTGAAACAAAAAGTAAGACAATGTAGTGGTGAAGTCTGATTATTCACTGCTCAAAAATATTTTAATCACAAATCAGAGTTCCAAATATTTACTGTACATTGTATAAATGTAAGAACTGTCAATGGAAACCACAATCACCAAATGAATGAGGGCTGGATTTAAAATCGCACCCAAAATCAAAGTCAAAATATTGAAACCACAGGCTGATCCAACTTGTCGTGTGTACAGCCCCCACGTTCCTGTTTGCACTCCTGACAATGTCTGGACATGTTCCTGATTTGATGGAGGATGGTGTCCTGGCGGATCTCCTCCCAGATTTGGATCCGCGTGCGTTCCTGGACAGTCTGTGGCGCTACTTGGCATATTCGAATGTGTAAGGTCTAGTGGTGCAACGTATCACAAAACTGACGGATCGGATCATTTTCGGATTAAGGTTAATAAAATTTTACTTACTCAGAGATACGATGGTTAACCATGAATGGTAATAGCAAGATCTGAGCTATTCGTATTCTAACAAGTTACCAGTAAACCATCTGACGGTGGTCCACTTATGGATTTACTACTACTTTAGCTCTGATGCAGCCGCCTCTCTCATCTTGCTTAATGTCTCACTACACACATTTTGTAATCAGTCTGATAGTGCAACCCATGGCACTGCACAGATCCTGCTAGAGGACGCTGGGCCGTCATGCCACCATCCTGGAGTCTGTTTCTAACAGTTTGGTCAGAAACATACTCACCTGTAGCTCGCTGGAGGTCATTTTGTATGGCACTGGCAGTGCTCCTCCTGTTACTCTTCGCACAAAGGAGCAGATACGGGTGCTGTTGCTGGTTTAATGCCCTTCTACAGCCCTGCCCAGCTCTCCTTGTGTAAAGGACTGTCTCCTGGTATCTCCTCCATGCCCTTTCCATGGATTGTCTTGCTGCTGTCTATCCTGTGCACCTGTTCTCACATTCATTTGCACCAAAACAAGACATGGATTAACAATCACTTATGCTTCCTAACTGGACAGATTGAAATCCCTGAAGTTTAATTGACAGGATTTTATTCTGTGATGATACACTTTATTGAATAATTATGTAAATAATTTCTTAGTTTTTTGTAGTTGTTCTTTGTATCACAGGTATCTGCTTTTCTTTCACTGCTTTTAAGCACCAAGCATCATCAATGTAGTCTACCGCCTGTCATCTTACTGGAGTCTTGTGCTTTGAACACAGTTCTCCCGTCAATATGCCGACTAAGTTGGAAGTTACCAAGCATTTAAAAAAAATAATAACTTGGGATCAGATTGACTTTCCAAATGGTAATTTCCATGTAATATTAAAGGGGCTAAATGTAAGTTTTTGATTTTAATAACTCAAATTTTCATTGCCTTATTGTCAATGGGCTCAAAACTCACTTTGAAATGAAGCACACACCTGTTTTCTCCATTGCTTGCATCAGCCACTATTCTGCTTTTAATGTGAGGATACTGGATCGTGTTCAGCCCTGTGCGCGCTCCCGAGCCTCTCTCACTACACCGCAGCTAACACATGCAAGGCAAGGCAAGTTTATTTGTATTGTACAACAAGGCAATTCAAAGTGCTTTACATTAAACATAAAAGCAGCATAGAGAAATTGAAAAATTTAAAATTTTTAAAAGGGTGAAATAGAAAATAAAAACAGGGTAAAACAGGACAGTAAAAGTTTCAGTGCAGTGTACAATCAGGGTTAAAAGAGTTACTAAAAGTGAAAATAAAAACAGGCTGAGGGTAGCAAATAATTGAGTTACAATAATTTTTTGTCTTTGAAAAGAGAATAAACAGAGAAGTCTCTCTCGCTCTCGCTCGCTCGCTAGTCTGTACTCGGGTCCATAGCAATATTTGGGGCTTAGGCTACGCGCTGCAAACATCAGCTGGAAACCCCAAAAACCCTAGGACACTACAGAGAAACCAGGACATGTCTGTCTGCAGGCCACTTTGATCCAGTTATACTCTGGACCCACCTGCGTGTTTACAGGTGGACAGAGGATCCTGCAAATTCAGATTTAAGACCACTTCCTTCACTCTGTTCAATCTTACTCTTTATCTTTTCACTCAATTACCTACTCATTTCTCATCATGTAAATAGTTTTCACTGAAAACGGATGTTGCAGTGCAGTGAACACCATAAAACAGCCAGCTCACAGCAAAACACAAGCTCCATGTAAGGATCCAAAACAACAATAAAGGTTTATGTGCTGAAGCCCATCAGACCAAACAGGTTCAGATGATGTCGAGTAAGAACAAAGTGAGCATTAGTAAAGCTGCAGAAACGCAGAGAAAGTCACATTAGCTCGCAGGCTAACGCCGAGCAGTTGCTAATGTGATCCAGTGCAAAGTTGTATCGCTTTCCACATTACTTCACCAATTAACGCGACCCATGTTACTATTCTGTGTACCACTGGTATTATGTCAAAGTGTTGATTTAGCCTGCAAGAAATGATGTAATGGTAAAAAGCAAATGTGGAGCAATTTTGTTTACTATCCTACAGTAAAGCAGCCAGCTAACGCTACATTAGTTTGCTTCATAACGCTCAATTTAGATTTCTTGTGGTTTGAAAGATACTCATGTACACAGCTTCTCCACCTCTCCGTCATTGTAACTAACGTGACCCACATAATATACAACACTGCAACAAAACAGGGACAACAACACACAGGAAGAGCCATCCACTAACACTACAGTAAAGTTACTTACTGCCGTCTGACTGTTATAAAGTGTGACACTATCTCGTTATAATATTCAGTCCAGCTCACTAAGCTTTTCATTATCATCCACCACATTTAGCTGTGCTCACATTGCTGAGCCTCCGGAGACAGATACACAGATAGTAAAGATAGTTACTGAAAAGCAGGCAGGCGAGCTAACGCCGATGTATCACGTCAGCTGAATGCAGTCAACGTAACGAGCGCGGATTAGTTCAGCCTCAAGCTGATAAAAATATTACTATAATGTTGCAGTAGGGATTTACCTGAGTTTCCACCACGTTGTGTGAAGCTGTCTCCCTGCCTGTCTATAGCTGCTCTCGCTGCCTTTTTTTGGAAGTACTGTGCCAACATGCCAGTGTCTCGCTGCGCTGATTGAAAGGTACGGCGGCCGGTGTTGATCTGCCTCTGAGCTGGGAACTTTGAAGTAACAGAGCCTGATCATGTCTGTGTGAAAAGCCACAGCCTGCATGCTGGTGTTTCTGCGTTTATTGCTGGATTTCTGTATGAAAGCGATTGTGTTTTGGATTATGCTCACTCATGAGTTTAAGCGAGCAGGCGTACGAGCACACGCCTGGTTGCAATCTTAAAACCGCTCCGCTGGTGGCCGCTGAAAACTCCATAATGCCCCTTTAAGTATATATATTCAGTAAATATTTCAACCTGCAAGTCGCTCGTTAAGCTGTCTTTATTCAGTCAACTACTTAAGTCACATTTTGCGTGAACTACCAGGTGTAACATTATGAATGCCTTTGAGGAGAGGCTGTCTGAAAGTCTGTTATGATCATTTGTGCAATTCACTGCATCTCACTCCTATCTCCCTATGACTGCAGGCATTTTGCCTCGGCTTCGAGCAGGACTATTCTGAACAGCTATAAAACTTTTGCTTGAGATGTAGTCGGACAACCGGTAGTTTATAGTAGTTAATTTTAAGCATACCCCAGCTGTGAGTCTTCAGGCTTGTAATATAGCAGGCAATTGTCCAGGATCATAATGGCTGCCAGCCATTGCTCAGCTGTGATCGGAGTGTTAAGGGGTTTTATCATTACAGATGTAAATTGTTGGTGTTATAATTGTTTGCTAATTTGTTCCAGCCCTACTCTAGCATTCACTTTCAGTTGACCTTTCTGACTCTTACCTTGTGCTCTCCTTTAGATATCCGCCTCCGGGTTCGCGCTGAATACTGCCAGCATGAGTCTGCGCTTCAAGGCAACGTCTTCTCCAACAAGCAAGAGGCAGTGGAGCGACAGTTTGAGCGCTTCAACCAGGCCAACACAATCCTCAAATCCCGAGACTTAGGCTCCATCATCTGTGACATCAAGTTCTCTGAGCTCACCTACTTGGATGCCTTCTGGAGGGACTACATCAATGGATCTTTGCTTGAGGCCCTTAAAGGGGTATTTATCACAGATTCCTTAAAACAGGCTGTGGGCCATGAGGCTATAAAACTGTTGGTCAACGTTGATGAGGAGGACTACCAGGCTGGTCGACGCAAACTGCTCCGTAATTTGGTCACAAATGGAGGGAGCCCACCAGGAGCTAGCAAAGACTGTGTATCTTAGACGCACTCTTCAGGTGGAAGCATATGGGAGGAACGCTGCTGTGCCTCCCCCACAGGGAATAGAGTGAGATGTGGTTGTGTCGTTTGAGGTGCCCGGAATGTGTGCCTGAAAGGAACTAAAGAACTTCTAGCCACCACATTGATTCCTTGAGAGCTAAGGTCATAGGACATCTTCTTGGCACCCCTAAGCGTAGCATGCGAGATGATTGGGAACTATGTTAGCAGAAAGAAGTAGGCGATGCATACAGGTTGACATTATTTTGAATGTTAAGCTGCTCATTTTCTTCAAGGAGGAGAACGCTGATTCATGTGTGCATTGAATTGAACTAATTTCTTGTTTCTGGTATGTTAGCTCATTGAAACACATTTGTTAACTCTAATGATACTCTTCACTCCTGTTCAAAAGTGGAGTTATTTTCAATACAGGAAACATGCTTAACACTGACAAGTTACTCCCAGTGGGAGTTGTACCTTATTGTCAAACTGGTTCATCTCTTTTCCAGGTTTTTCAGGTACATTACAGATTGATTGGATTAACCCAATGAGAGAGTGTTCTGTATGTTATAGAAAGGCGCAGACCGTAGTTGACCTACAATTTGTTTTTTCTATCAGCTTATTATCCTACTTTCCCAAAACTTTGCAGAGTTTCCTTGTCTGGAAAGATGAACCCTTCCAGAGCCTTTTTATTGGCTCATATTTGGTCACTGTTTGACATTATTGTGTTTTGGCTTTGTTTTAACCAGTTATCATGTTTTACAACATAGCTTGTTACCAGCAGCTGTGATTCTGGCCTAATTTGAAGTGTCACGTCACTGCCAATATTTAAAACTTTGTGGACTGTTCTAATGTTTTGTCGTTTTCCAATGAAACATTGAGTCGTTCACAGGTGTTTTAGATTTGTTTGATTTGCAAATCAGTGCCAGTTTCATTGTCCGCCTGTAACTCTGGACCTCTGCTTACTGACCCTCTCACTCATGTTCACTTTTATATATATTTATATATATATATATGTGTGTATATGTTACTGTAGATATATCAGACAGATATACCACTGAACTTTTTATTTTATTTGAAGTGACAAATGACAACAAACCAACAGCAGATGAAAATCACAGTCAGTATGTGGACAGTCATCTCAGTTGTGCAGGTGGTAAGATGCCAGAACAACTTTAAATAATTCACAGGGCTTGGGCTTGTTTTTGTGAAGTTAAAGATATTTCACTCAACCGTACTTGGAAGTTTCACAAGTGAAATCCTCAGCACATTCTCCGTGGATATCTCGTGCCTCCTTGTGGAAGAGGATGTTGAGGCGACATACTCAGAAGGCGTTATGAGCAGGTGTTGCACTCACTTCCTCATCTAGTCGCTTGACATCCTGTTGGTCGTGTAGGAGAAACGACATCCTTCTCCGTCGGGAGGTGTGACATCTCCATGGGCTTTCACAAACTTATAAGGTTTTAAAACTGAAAAAATAGGACGTTGTGGACCAACAGAATAGCAAGGCATATAGCATGTTGATCCACTACAGTTTAATGCGCAGTTCCTTAACAATAACATGCTTCTAGTGGTAGAAGACCACTTCTACAGTGTAGCCTGAAATGCTAATTAACCAAAATGTGAATTTACATTCTTTATCTTCCTTTTTTTTTTTTGGGTAACCGTGGAATGAGATGAATTAACAGACATTAGGTTCGATGGGTGCCTGTAACAAGCACATGTTGACAGTATTACTGATTATAGCTTTAATTTTATGCAGTCATAAAAATACACTGTTGTGGCCACTGTTATTGTAGTTCTGGGAAGCCCCCCTTGAACAGCCTGAGATCTTCATCGCATGGATTCAACAAGGTGTTGGCGAGTAGAGATTCATGTTAACATGATAGCCTCAAGTAATTTGTTGTCCAGGCTGCAGGAGTCCAACAAGGCTGAAAATTCTACTTATCTGAAATAATATTTAGCTGTGATAACATTGTCAGGAGATTGGAAGTTTATATGGTCTGGGACGCATTCATCCCACACAGCTTGTTATTTTGAGTAACTTCCCCTTTTTAGTTTATTAGCGCTGCAGCGTCAGCAAGCTTCAGAACTGGTGCACAGCATTAACAGTTTGTGACATACCCATTGACGAGTCCGCCGCAGGTGCCGTTGAGCCCATGGCGTTATCCATATTTCCACCCTTTGTTCTTCTTGTAGAGGCAAAACATTGCAGGCTGGCGGTACCAAGTGCAAAGCAAACCTTCTCAATTCCAGTGATTTTTTTTTTTTTCATAGAAATTAAATTCAGAGTTTATGGAACTGTTGACAGTGGTTTGACTTTGTGAATTAGGAACACACTGTCCACTACTGCCATACTATTTCTTCTCATGCAGGTGCAGGACTGCCGTGCATGTTGGCGGCCAACTGGCTGTAGGCTGTAGTCTCACTTTTAACAAAAAACGTGAGTCGACCAACATTATCACCAGACAATGTCAGTGTAAGACGTATCCTACAAAATCCTGGATTATGTTCAGAGACAACATCCTTCAAAGTCTTGCTTTCTGCGATGTCATGAGCATGGCAATTGCACTATCGTTATGGTTAGAAAAATATTGTGGTTATGTTTAATAAATAGGCAAATTTCAATTGCAGGTCCGGGATGCAATTTCCAATCTTCTGTATCAAAGTCAGACCCACACATGCCCATCTATCAACCCAACCTCCACACCCTTACTTTCAAGTGCATAAAGAACACACTGCTTTCTACACTGGCACTGAATGTTGGCATTTGACGTAAATCATGACGTGCAGAATCGTTCGGTATGCGGACAATTCCTCGGAATACTGGCCGGAGTCAATACCAAGTCAAGGGGGCGCCATAGTCGTATACTTTCAGATTCTCTGAATTGTGATTTTTAAAAAAGAAAGAATGGTGTACCAGTAACGTTTTGTTTGGAAATGTTTAATATCAGTGATAATGTGTCAGAGTTGAAGTATAACCACAATGCTGTTTTGTGATGAGATTATTTAGATTTTATTACAGAAGAACGTTAGAGACTGAATGTCATTTCGGCAAGGACTGTCATTTGAACTGCCAGTCTCTAAGGCTAATATCTTACATTTTTTCTTCATTTCTCATTACTCCGTGCACAAAGCCAAATGATTGACATAAAAACATGTGCAGACTCATACTGTGTACTTGTCAGCAAAGTAATGTTTTGATCCATTTCTTCACTTCCCATCTTGTTATTTTACTTGCTGCATTACAAATGCATTTCTTATTCTTTTTGCCAAATCTCTGTAATCTCATTTTGCCTCTGATTTAAAAATGTAATGAACTCTTGTCTAGCTTTCCATCAGGTAGCATTTTACTTTTATGTACCCTATTAAATTCAGTGTATGTTTCTGCCAAATATATTCTTCCTGCTACAAAAGCCCTTATCTCTGCTGTATCATACCATCCATGGGTACATATCCGAACTCACAAGTCATGACTGACAGGCCACTATTACTGTGAATTATATAGAGTAGGCCTACATTTTATATTTTTACCCCAGTGGAATTTCATGTAAAGGTTGCAAGTTAGTATCTATTATATAGGTTGGTGTATGTTCTGTTCGTTGTATGTTATGTTAGTTGTTAAATGCAGCTGTCTCTTACACAAAATTGCATGTAACCTGTTAGGATCTCCTGAAATGTCATAGAAACTCACAGTGCTAACAATTTGTAAATAACTTTATTGGATGTCAGGTTTTCTTACTGCAATTTTGCATTTCTTTCAGAAAACAGACAAGTAGGACTGTTAATAAATGAGATGGATGGGTTTTGTTGAAGTCCCAGTCCTAATTATTTTTATTATGTCACATGGCAAAATTTTGGGTGGAAATCTGTGTACAAACTCCAGATAAGAAAGTATAGAGGACATATTTAAACATGGTTTCCTGATAGATATAATGCTTATTATGGACTCGACCAATATTTTAGAAATTTTGCAAAAACCTTTTCCTGCTTTGACACACCAGCCCTGTGTATGATGTGGAATGTGTATGATAATTTACATTAGACTGATCCTGGGTGCATCTCATTTCTCTTACACATTTGTTCTCATTCCCTCTTGCTCCTCAGCTCATCACACTCGCGACGTGAGGAAAACATACAAGGAAGGAGAAATCCAGGCAGCACATTTTGTCTGACTGACGAGGCAAACCAAGTTTATTCAGGCCAAGAATGTTCTTGCAGAGACTTGAATGTAATGTATGTCAGTGTGAACTCCACACTCTACTGGTATGATGGTATTGCTTTCAACACATACCCTAAATGAAATGATAAAAGATTTGGTGGTTAGACCAACAAAAGTTAACCTTGCTGTGTTTCTATATGCCATGGATACTCTGCAAACCGAGCTTTGGCTAACCACTGCTACAGCAGGTCTGCTGTCAGTCAGTGTGATCCAACGTGTACAAAATAGATTAAACAAATTTATGAAAATATGCTGGCTAGTCCTGTGTACTTGTTGATCTAGATAGTGTTTGCATATTTTTTTTTTTTTTTATTGGCATTGTAATCAGTTAATTTACTTATTACACTGGGCTTAGTCACTGCTGTAGGAGAAGCATCTGGAGGGCAACACATTCAATTTAGAAGTTAAAGCTGCATGCAGGGTTTTACGGGTTCAGCGCACTTTGTCATTCCAGATCAAGACATTATACAACTTAAAGAACAAATGTCTTAAACGATGTGGGAAATGTGACAATGCAGCTTGTTTTATTTATTGTTTGACAGCAACGGTAAGTATAACCACTTGAATGAGTTATAGCCTAGATTCAATCAGGTTTTTGAGTCTTATTCAGTGCAGTAGTTTACTTCTCTCATGAATTATTGTCCCAGTGATCCGTGTATGCAGCCAAGCGTCACAGTAAGTATGGATATGGGAAGTATTTTGAACCTTTACTCGACAGTGGAGACATGACAGGAAATGAGGGGAGAGAGAGATGGGGAATGACATGGAACAAAGTTCTCTGACTTGACTTTCCGACCAGTGGCATTGCAGTTCATGGTACAGTGCCTTCAGGTTGTATTCACACAAAAGCAGGCGTTTTGGTCCTCCCATTCATTTGAATTGGGGATGTCCGTTTAGGCCGCAGAGGTAGTGACCAAGGGATGCTGGAAAAAAAAGCCTGCATAAAAAAAACATTTTTTCGGGCTCTCTATAAAATGTTCATTGTCAGATTAAAGGAGTGTGTTTGTTGAAATTCTCTTTAGATCCCTACAGCAATCAATAATTGTGCTCTTACACAAAAATGAAAAAAAAAAAAAAAGAAAAACAGAATCTGTGGCTGTTGCAGGACTGTAATAAGCACAGCCAATAATTTGGTTGGCCTAGCTGTGCACTCACTGAGTGAAAATGTGTTTTGGGGGACTGGCTTTGGTGGGAGGCCTGAAGAGATTTCAGTGTTGAAATCTAGAAGTCTCTTGCTAGATCTCCAATGTTGCCTACAGCAGGTTTAAGGATATAGTTGTAATTTCCTCAGAAAAAAAACTGTCTGACCAAAGGTCACAGTAAATATTTTATTAAAAAGTAAAACTTCAGTTAGGCTAAACTTTAACTGACTTAAACAAGACTAAATTAATGTAACACCAATCAAATACCTAAACTAATACAAGGCATTGGAAATATTCATTCAAATTACATACAAATACACTTACCAGTATTTATAGTGTTAAGCATTCCTGTTATTACACTGAAAAGGCAAATGCATCACAGCATAATGTTTTGTGCTCTGTAGGTTTACAGGTCTTGTGCAATATGGGTTTAAATGCACACAAATGCAACAAAAACAGTTTGTAAGTTACTTACAAAGACAGTGAAGACAGTAAAGAATACTGGTCAGGTACACCAAGCTGCACCTTACTCAACAAGCTTGTTTCTTTAGTTCTTCGATGGCTCATCTCATTAGAGCAGTAGGGACTAGTTATAGTTCCAACTACTAGAACATGATAACTTCACATTATGTAAGTGGCAATAAGTGCAAATGTGATCAAAAAAGTAGACTGATAAAATGAGTAATGGCGCGTTTTCTTTGTTTGTTTTGTCTTTCGGAAACAGATCCCAGATTATTTGCTGTTTGTTGGACTCTAATATGGTTATATATTGTCCTTGTGTGTTGCTGTCTCTCATTCAGGCAGCTTTTTCAGAAACAGAGTATAGTTTGAGAGTTCATTACTGTTGCACCTAGGATCTGAAGTCCTTTTTACTATAGGGCTTGTTTCCCAAGATGGTATCCACCTCAGATGCAATGGAAAGTGATAACTTCGGAAGAACCTGTGGAATGAGAAGAGAGAAAGGATGATTGTAATTTCTCAGTAAATTGATTTACCTTACCTGCAAGGAGGGAAACAGGCTTTAAATTGAAACAGACTTATATTAGAGGGAGGCCTTTACTTCTAAGAATTCTGTGTTTGCCTGTTTGGCACTGGTCGCTTATGTAACTTAACTCTGGTGTAGCCCAACCAACCAGAGCAAGAGGTATTTAGACTAATTCATCTGCTGATTGTGGGCTTCAGTGCTAATTCCGTGGGTGCTTAGCAGCTCGGGCACCCATGAGCAACAGTTAGCACAAACAGTGAAATCAATCCGTGAGGTTGCTATTGGAAGATGTGAGAGCAAAATTGTACTTTTAACTTTGTCCAATCTTATATTTATCCTTTATACAGGTGCATCTCAAAAAATTAGAATATCATGAAATAGTAAATTGTGAGCACCAGAACCAGACCGAGAGATTAAAGGCTCGGGAAAACTTTCCAGGTTTTTTCAGTTAATTAGCTGATTAGAGCTCTTCTCAGTTTGACATTTCTGTATTTTAATACATTTTGAGATAATCAAGTTTTGATTTCCATGAGCTATAAGCTGTAATCATCTAAATAAATGAATGTAGAATACATGAAAGTTGCACTTTTTTAATTAAATTATGTAAAAACATGAACTTTGGCGGTGTGGTGGTGCAGTGGTTAGCACTGTCACCTCACAGCAAGAAGGTCGTGGGTTCAAACCCCGGTTGCCCCGGCCTTTCTGTGTGGAGTTTGCATGTTCTCCCCGTGTCCGCATGGGTTCTCTCCAGGTGCTCCGGCTTCTTCCCACCATCTAAAGACATGCAGGCTGGGTTAATTGGTGTCTCTAAATTGTCCTTAGGTGTGAATGTGAGTGTGAGTGGTTGTTTGTCTATGTGTGGCCCTGCGATGGACTGGTGACCTGTCCAGGGTGTACCCCGCCTTTCGCCTGATGTCAGCTGGGATTGGCTCCAGCCCCCCCGTGACCCTGTACGCAGGATAAGCGGTTGATGATGGATGGATGAAAAAAATGACAATATTCAAATTTTTTTACATGCACCTGTATCGTATTGTTGTTTTGTATTTGTATTGCTTTGTATACTGTTTGACACCACTGAGTGGTTGGTTATCAAATTTTGGCACACCTTTTTGAAAAATGGATACATTTTTAATAAGATATAAGGCAGACACAGGTAGAAGCTGCAGACACTAGCATTCAGTTGAACAAATCTCGGCATACCTCAATGTGTGACAGGTGCGTCAGAGGAAAGCATGACTTCATAATAATGAAAAAACTACTACTTAGTGCTGATACAGAGAGTCCAAGTGAAACCAGATTCTGCTACAGTAAGAAACTTCCCATTGACGTTTCCACTAAAAATCCCGTTAACATTTGTAACTACGCTAATTACAATAAATCCAGCCTTGGAACAGAGCCTTTCTCAACCGTATGTTGTGTGGCTCGCTTCATATGTTTATATAAGGACGGTATTTTTTTTTTTTTAATTGTCTAATATTGTTGTTTATTTAATATTTATGTTTTTAGAAGCCTTTAATTAACACAATTTCCCACAAGCCCTACACCTTGGTTTATCATGCCTTGATCACACTGTAATCCCAACAGGACAAAGAGACAAATAGCCAAGAAGTATCCATGCTGCTGCACTGTGCTCACAAAGTGATCGTTGTTTTACATTCTTAAAATCATGAAGGTTACAACGGCTTTGTCTTAGAATATGGACAGGTTTTATATATTCTGCATTTAAATTCTGGAAGGGAGAAATTGGGCTGGGGCTTGGATTAACGTCTGGGACTGGGGTTGTTGCAGTTTTAAAACGAAACTGACCAGAACATGAAAGGTAACAACTGATTATATGTTTCTTTGGTCTGTACCAAGTAAACTTAAGGCCTGAAAGTGACCTAAATCATTCCAAACACTCACAAAAGACTGTTTGGTACCATGTTGTGTTGGCTGTTGTTATGGAACTGTTAAAGTGTTTCCACCTGCTGCCTGTATGCTTTCTAACCTGTATTGCTCTGATATTCTCCATCAGCTGCTCGGTTCTGGAAGCTCCCAGGAGGACAGAGTTCACACCTTCGTTCCTCAAGCACCAGGCTGTGAGAATTTGCAAAAAAAGAAGAAAAGTTGTGCAGTCCTTCAGTAGCCATTGTTGTGTGGAGGTAACTGCAAAGTCATCTGGATTACAACACAGGCTAGGGGATAACAACACACATTATGTGTGCTGGACACATTTGTGCAAATATAGTCATGTGTTTTATATGAATCCCTAAATATTTCAACATGCTGTGTAAGAAAAGGTCTGTGGCCTGCATGTTTAATGAAGGGCTGATGGAGTTTTCTCACTTGTTCTTTATTCATGTTTTATGAAAAAACAATACCGCAAGACTTTCCTTTTTTATGTTATTAACCATAGAATAAATAAAGGATATAATTTGCTATAATTGTAATAAAGTGTCAATCAATTTTAATAACAAGTTATCATGACAGACAGAAACCTTATTCCTGTAGAAAAAAACATGGACAACTTCATAGCGGGACATGATGGACGTAAACACAGAGTAACAAATTGCAGTTTGGTTTTACCGATAGCCAGCTGGGGCAGAGTGCAGCCTAGTCGCTCAGCAACTGCCTGCAACTCTTTTAGCTTCAGCTGCTGACGGTGCCCCTCCTCACTCAGGATCTTGTCCTTCATCCACTGATAGCCCTGTTGCAGACAGCACAAAACAGCCCGGGGCTTAAGGCAAGACAGGGATTCTTGTAGTGTACCCGCAGGTCTCTAGTGTGTGCTGCAGCCCAGTGTTTTTCCACTGGTGTTTTTGAGGGCGTGTCGGACTAGCCGCTTGGCGAGCGTTATATGAGGCGCATTTAGCTTTCATCCCTGTGACGTCACAAGGATGAAAGGGAAACGGCTGGACTACAAATAAGCTGTTTTCAAGCAGTTTAGAGCAGAGTTTTCTGTGGGAGATGGGAACTCCCTTTGGGCTGGACCTCGGGCTTTTTCACTTTGCAAACATAGTACATGCACAAAAAAGGTATATAACTCAATAAAGAGGAAAAAGCTAAAAAGCATACCACCTCTTTAATACAGCACATTAGCTTGTGCTATAGCTCACTACTTTCACTTAAAGTATAGTGTTGTTGTAGCACAACTTCTTTTAGGGAAGAGAGCAGCAGCTTGTAGCTTCATTGGATATGGTTTCAAAGTGGTTTCCCTATCACTAATAGTGAGTAGTTAGTAGTTCCAATGAAAACACAGTAAGTTTATTACGCAAAGTAAATGGGACATTGTTTGTAGCATGACACGTTGCTGTTCAGGTTTTCAAATGTATTTTTTCCAATGCTGTGAGCGTCACAGTGAAAATCTCATTGTAATGCAATGGGGGTAAAAATTTCAGACACAGATATCTCAGAACTTGTTCTGTAATTCAATTTGAGCAAAGCGTGTTAAAATATATACAACATTTTAGAAATAGAAAACAGAGTAGACATAATGAATATTAGGAGAAACAGGAGTTACCTTAAGTGAGGCACGTGAATAAGGGGGGATCCCACTGTTATACTTCCCTGAGATGATTCCACAGGCCAGTGGAGACCATGTCATTGCTCCAATGCCTGCGTACCCAAAACAGGCCTTGTAATGGACCAAATCACACACAGCAAATTTCTAATGTTGAATGAATTGTTTATTTGCAGTGTTACAGTGTGGGGGCCTGGTGGGGAGGGCAGCCTCCAGACCTTCTCACAGACTATGGCAGCTATTTACCTATCTTGTGGAAGAGATCAGGGAGTTGCACTTCAACTTTCTCCCTCTGGAACATGTGGTACTCTGCCTGTTCGCAGATGGGTGGGATCTGGTTGAACTGTCTTGCCACTGAGTATGCTTCCTACAGCAAATACAAGGAACAGTTAGTGAACAGTTACACACGTCTTCACAGATCCCAAATTTTGACCTGTTCAAAAATGGACCTACCCTTACCCAGTGTGCATGAATACAATTTCTAAAAAGAAAGCCAATCTTTACTAGACCCAAGGATAATCTAAATGTGGTGGACCAAAACAGAAGGAGAACACCAACAATGGCATGACTAGATGTGTTTAGACTGATAATAATTCGGACCTGGCACTAACTCAGATTGTGGGTTGAATTTAGGTTACAAGGAACCAAATGGACCCATGAATGCATTTACAGACTACTTGGAAACTTGTGTAAACTCACCATTATCTCCATGGAGGTCCATCTTGATGTCCCCCAATACATGGCCATCCCCTGGTTGATCACATGGGTCATTGCCCTCACCGTCTCTATCAAAACATCCCAAATAAGCTAGGTTACCAAGTTTTTGCAATCATCAGACAGACTCCAAAAGACAGAAAGAAACTGCTCAAAAAAAAAAAAAACAGCGACCAGGTAAAATAAACTGACAAAGAATGGCATAAAAACTGTACAGTCTAATATGTTCTTCATCTAGGTTCTGGGTTTTTTAGTACGCCCCAACAACACTTCTTGGATTCTCTCTGACATGTGATTGAACAAACCAGTCAGAAGTTAGACAGACAATACTGGGTGACGGCTTGTGGCATAAGCAAGAGCAACTTGGTTAAGGCATCCCAGTCAGTACACTGTTGGATAAATATGTTGGCTGATCAATAACTCAATTCTCAATCACATCACCACATTGGGTGATGTTTTGGGAAGGTTCAAGTTTTATGAATGCCTACCAGCTGTTTTTGATGAGGCCCTTAATCCATGCTTTTGGAATGATGACGTTTTCAAGCAGACATTAAGCACTTCTAAAAAGCAATGAGGGTTAAATACTTAAAATTGGGCTTGATAACTGTGACCAGCGGAGACTTCCAACATTTCACATCACTTCATTACCAGGCTCAAGGCAGCGTCTGTTATGTGTTCAGGTTTCTGAGAAAGTTGGTGTCAGATGGGGTGTGGGACTCCATCACATAGAGAGCATTTCTTCCACTATAGCCAGATGTAGCACAACAAACACGGCCAGAAGCAAAGCTATAACAAGGTCTTGCCAAGTGTGTGGCACAATGACTTGGTACCATAGACTGTATAAAAGAAGTGGACGTAGTCATCGTGACATCACCCGTTGGTTTGTGGACTGCGGTTTTGAAGCCTCAAGTTTGGCAGATGGGGGCGCTGCCATGTTGTGTTTTTGCAACAGGCACCAGACATGACCATATTTGAACGCGACGGTGGAGCTAGCTAGCTTGCTTAGCTAGGTGCAACTGTGACTCACGTTAACTGTCATTTTAACTGGGCTGATAACTAACTGTCTTAAAACTAAATACTCACCAGATAAAATGAACAGCCAACTCCTAATAAGCTTTTTCAACAGCGCTGGTTAAATTTACACAGTGCCGAGGGTACGAGTCATGGTGGCCTGATTGTCAGGTCGCCATGGTAACGACTTGTCAATCACAGATAATCCCTGAAGTATACTCTGCTTTGTGGTCTACTTTCCTCTAAATGGGACCATAATTTACTAAATGAACATTATGTTTTACTGAAGAAGACTTGAAACTAGCGATTGAGACCAGAAACTCATAATGAAAGTGTTTACTGAAGTAATAAATCAGCTGAGAAGTAGGGTCATTTTGCCATTATTTCTAATGGAACCGGACTTCTTATTGCAACCAGAGGAGTCGCCTTCTGATGGCTGTTCAATAGAATGTAGGTTCAACAGACTTCTGCATTGGATTTACGTCTCAGACCGGAAGCCCCCCCTGTTCCATTGTTTCCTCAGCACCAAAACAGGAAGTTGTTGTAACTTCACTGTAAATTCTCAAATCTGCACCAAACTTTAGGTGCTTCATAACGGTCCTGCCCCGAACACATCTACAATTGTCAGTTATAGTTGTAGCTCCACCTACTGGAAACAGAAAGTAAGCTCTGTGTGACACTCATCATGCAATTTAAATAAAATTTCACAATGTCTACCACACGTGATGTGTTAGGACATAATGTAGTTACCGGGTGCTCTCTCTAATGTAATCTGGACAACCAACATTCCAGCAAGTCTGATTGGACTGGGTCAAACTCAACAATACATTTTCCCCACCAGAGAAAGCAAAGAAACAGTTGGACAAAAAGCACACCCACCTTCTATAGGTGTATTAGGATCTGGTCGATTTGCAAAAACCACGTCTATGTACTCCAGCTGAAGCCTCTCTAGTGATGCTCTTAGACCTGTTTCATAAATACAATTGCATATTTATTTTAGCCTTACATATGAGAAATGTGATGTTATGTGGCTATGATGCACATGCAACTTGGTTGTTCAAATAAATCAATCTACTTTTGCTGTCATGACAAAATGCTAGCCTTATAATTATTCACAGTAGTAGCTAAAACTCTTACCTTCAATTATATGTTTTCTAGACAACCCTCTTTCCATTTCTGCTCTGAAAAAAAACATTGAGCATTTCACTGGGTGCGTAGAATTCAAACATAATACATTTCGAATTTAATACTGTGGAGGTGGGCATGATTTGCATTCAGCTGCAGTAGGGAGAGGTGGCTCAGGTGAGCAGAGCCAGGGAGTGCAGACCGTGTGGAGGACTGTCCTAAGGTGACCGGCGTGAGCGAGCCGGGGAGCGTGTGGTCAGCCCGGGCAAGGAGCTTTATTGTGGGAAAGTGTGTGTGTGCGGCAGCGTGTGAAATAAAGACACTGTATTAAACCGTGCTCCTGAGACTTTTGCTACAGATACATCTTATGTTACACTCACTGGTAACGAATGCTGGAAAGCTTAGCATACTAGGATAAAAGGATGGGCCAGTACATATAGGGCTGGATCTAATCAGAGAAAATGAGAAGCAGGTGAGTGAAGATGGGTGAAGCATGCCAGGTGAGGGAAAGGGGTTACTGGAGAGAGAAGGGAGGGCAGATTCTGAAATGAAAGTACTGGGAGATCAGGAAGGATTATTGACATTTTATATTGTTCATTGCTATATTGAATATAGGTAAGCACAAAGCACAGAACCAAATCCTATCCTTCCATCCATTTTCTTCCACTTATCCGGGGCCAGGTTGGGGTGGCAGCAGGCTAAGCAGGGTAGTCCAGACATTTTCCACTTGCTCCTGGGGGATTCTAAGGTGTTCCCAGGTCAGATGAGATATATAATCTCTCAAGCATGTTCTGATGAAGCCAACAGAACCACATCCTCTGCAAAGAGTAGAGATGCAATTCTGAGGTCCTATCAGACAGGACAACCTCCTCCCCCCTGTGCCTTGAGATCCTGTCCTGTCCATGAGTATCACAAACAAAATCTGTGACAAGGGACAACCCTGGTGGGGGATATTTGACTTTGTACAGAGAATACGGACACAGATCTCACCTTGGTTATAGACTTTCATCGGATGCATTGCCAAGGTGACGCCCCGCGAAGTTAACTTCCATTCTGTTTGTTTATCAATGGGTTTGTGTTTACTGGCTGATACGGTGAGTGATATCCAGTACAGTGTTTCCCGTACATTCATTTATTTGTGGCGGCCCACTACATTATCAGCGCTGACCGCCGCATATTGATTTCCGTTATTTTACATTTAAGATGGGAAAACTTAGATTTCAGAGCTGCATGCAGTGCATATTCGCTCAGCACCTCCTCTCACTCCTTCCTTTCTCTCTCGGTCTCCCACAAACACATTGACAGCAGACCATCCATCCAAATCCATCCAACGTCAATGTCGGATCCCCCCGCAGCGCTCGCCACAGTTAAGTGCAAATTATACTTCTGCGTCAAATCGACGGGGTAGGTGACGGCGTAGGTACGGGGCTACGCAGAGGCTATGCCGTCGCCTGACTTTTTTTTTTATTGAGGTGAAAATTTACATGTTATTTATTAACAATATCTGGCATAGTCAGAGATCACCAAATATCAGTGCTAACAGGAAACGGAGCATGTTTTTTAGTTGTTTTCTTCTTCATGAACAACAGGGACTTGTAGTATGCAAATTCTTTCTTGAAGACATTAAAAAGAGGCAGTGCATTTTTTGGGATACTTTGGATAATGCTTTGGATGCTTTTTGTACCGAAATCTTCAAAAGATAAAACATTTCCATAGTTGTCCAGTAAATGTGTGACAGACCAAATATTGTTTTCCATCCATTCATTGAGATACAGGGACTTATTTCTAAAGAGAATGAATCTGCAATTCCAGATGGGTACGTCATGGGGAGTAAAATTGTGTTTGTACAGTAGTTTCCAATATAACAGAACTTGTGAATGAAATGCAGACAGTTTTATAGAAAGTTTTAGAACATTAAAATCACAGCGTAACAGTAAATCAATACCTCCAATTTTTTTAAACAATTCCCTGGACACACAATAGCAGAAGCTTTACGCCATCACCTGACTTGCACCTCCTCAAAAATGTAACTACACGTCGAGTCGACGCGGACCGTAAGCTCTGTGACTGGTCAGCTGGGTAGCCTCGCTATGCCTCCGAGCCGATCGGAAGTACCCTGCGCTTTGAAGTAACGGCCAAAACGGCGGCTGTAACACAGTGAATCAATATATTTGACCGTCGCAACCCGAGCGAAATGACTCGTTTCGCTATCAGAATTTGATCCCTTTGGTCGGTAACCTTTGAAAAGGTTAGCAGAGCTTAAAACTGGAAGTTAGCCAGCTCGGCCAGCAAAAGTCAACACAGTGGACGCTGTAGCGCTACTGCCGACTAGAGTTTGGGGATGTAATTGACGAATGACGGACACACCTACGTACAAGTATAAATGCATGGCCCTGCGGAGGAGTATAAATGGACCTTTACGCTGTCATTCTTTGGGAAACACCGCGGTAAATCACACAGGTCGGTGGAAAAACATTCTTGTCTCAAATTTCTGTTCAGCGGGTCTGGTAGTGTGACCTTATCATGTTTCAGTTTGGCCAAGTAACATTTCTTTTCTTCTACTGGCAGCTAAGGTTATTTACTTGCATTATGGATTACTTGCGGAAGTCTGACGGAAGTTAAGTTTGGGCCAGAGTAATGCACATGCACAGTACCGTTTGTTATGTTGTTACCGTTGAAAGCGTCATAGGAACCAGATGGTTCTTAGCAATGGTCTGACTACCCCATACTTCCTCAGTGTCCCGCACATGACCACCTTGGGACACAGTCAAAAGCTATTTTTTCTGGGGCACATTTAGCTCAGTTGGTAGCGCGCACCTCATGTACAAGGCACTGTAGTAGCCTGGGTTCGGGTCTAGCCTGTGGCCCTTTGCCGCATGTCGCCCCCTATATCTCTCCCTCTTTCCTCATTCTATCCACTGTCCTATCAAACGAAGGCGAAAAATGCTCCAAAAAATGTCTTTTCTAGCTATTTCTGAAACCACTAGACACATGTAGACCCCCCATGCCCACAATTCTGAAAGGGGTAAAGAGCTGGTCCAGTGTTCCATAGCCAGGATGAAATCAACATTGCTCCTCCTGGAGTGGAGGTTTGTCTCTTTTTCAGCACCCTGAAAGAAACTTTCCCAGGGTGGCTGAGCAGAGTGATACACCTATAAGTGGAACAAACCCTCGGGTCCCCCTTTTTAAAAATGGGAACCACCCTGTTCTGCCACGCCAATTGCAGGGAGTATTGAAAAAAAGAAAAACTGTAGGTCTTGTTATGTCCCTTTGGACAACATTGCAGGCTCACTTCAGCCTCAGTGGAATGACAGAAAGCAGACTGAAGGACTGAAATCTATCTTTGCTATTGTAGCCTATGCTTTGTATCCCCAGATAACAAAAAATCCCATACCAAGTCATTATATTAATACTAGTGAAATCCACTGCTTGGTTGCAGTCTGGATGAGGAATATGCACATATTGTAAGCAGGGCTTCTATTTGACTGTTTTACTATTATATGCTTTACTATAATAGCCTATGTTTCACTGTGAGGTGCTTAGCTCTTAGCTTATGGCTACTAAGGAGCATTCATTCATTGCAATCATAGAAAGAGTAAAAGAAGGAGAGACAGAGACGGAGTAGGAGAGAAAAGAAAGCATAGACATACTTTCCACCCCAGAAGATTTTGGTGGTGATGACTAAACTGGAACGCCTGCATGTAGGACCATAAATAAAAACAGAAATCAGACTGTGGTAGTTTCATTCTCTCAAATGACACCTGGAAACAATATCTCTTGGGGACAAAAAAGCAATATATCATCAAGCACTCCATAAAAACAGTAGTACAGAGTACAACATAAGTAGCAGAGTAGCAAATAATTGTGTATGCATGCCAGATATTCAGTTTCTCCAGTGACCATAGCTGGTGTAACGGAAATAAACGTAGAGGATGGAAATGTCCATACATTGTAACAGCGATAGGGGATATGCATTGGGTATGGATTAAAAGCTAGGTCAAATAAAATGTACATGAAGTCACACCCTGAAGGGGCGCATTAATCAATATCCACTATTTAGTTACAGCCGAGTCCATTTGCTTTCTGATATAATCAAAAAAGCAACAAAATCTTAACAAATTTACAGTATGAATCAGGTGAGGAGTATGTAATCTCCTCCAAATAAAGATAGGATACCATATCATTGAGCCAAAACTGTCAAAATAACCCCTTATAGAAACATTAAAGCATATTGGGTCCTAAATAGTAGTTTTAGGAAGTAAGAGCAAGTACACGGTATAGGTCAAATTGTTCCCCATAATTAAACAAAGTAAATGTACTGATTGCCTCCCAAAATGTTTAACTTTAGGGCAAGTCCAGAATGGATGTCCCCTCTCCTGACCTGACATTTGTCTGCTCTAGAAGAAGTTTTGAGATTACTGAGCCCAAAGCTCATCAGATATCTCAGAACCAAATCCCCTTCTCTAAGCCTCTCTGAGATGACAAGAGGAGGAAGGCTAGGTAAATTTAGATAAAAAGAGATTAAATCAAACCTTCGGGTAATGAAAGAAATTGAAATATGGAACTATAGAATATAGAATATCTGGAACACAAGTTCATGTCATTTTTCATTTCAGGCCCTGTTATATCACTGCGATGGCCTCAGAACATATTTGACATCCCATTGTCTACACCATCTCTGGTAAATCATAATGGGAGCAAAAAACTGAAATGCTGTTGCAAACTGTTAATTTGGGTTGCTTGTGGTCCCATGCTCCCTGTGGACCTTTCCCTCCCCATGTGGACAAGCAATTGCTTGCCAGTGTAGGCTTCCTGCAAGGTTGGAGCTTCCGTCTGGAGTGTGTCCGTTTGTCGCTAATCACAAGTAGGTGGTCATGTAGAATGGGTGAACAGCTAATCAGTTGTGTTTAGCCACACGTGAGTGCTAATTTGCAGTCTGGTGCCTCTTTGTTTCTAGGGCATGGCGTCTTCCTGAAGTGGCAGTCCAGTCTCTTGCCTGCCCAGTTGAGGAAAAGCTGCCATTCCTCTTTTTATATGCTAGACAAAACCTTTATGTACAGGTGCTGGTCATATAATTAGAATATCATCAAAAAGTGGATTTATTTCAGTAATTCCATTCAAAAAGTGAAACTTGGATATTATATTCATTACACACAGACTGATATTTCAAATGTTTATTTCATTTAATTGTGATGATTAAAACTGACAACTAATGAAAATCCCAATTTCAGTATCTCTGAAAATTAGAATATTACTTAAGACCAATACAAAAAAAGGATTTTTAGAAATGTTGGCCAACTGAAAAGTATGAACATGAAAAGTATGAGCATGTACAGCACTCATACTTAGTTGGGGCCCCTTTTTGCCTGAATTACTGCAGCAATGCGGCGTGGCATGGAGTCGATCAGTCTGTGGCACTGCTCAGGTGTTATGAGAGCCCAGGTTGCTCTGATAGTGGCCTTCAGCTCTTCTGCATTGTTGGGTCTGGCGTATCGCATCTTCCTCTTCACAATACCCCATAGATTTTCTATAGGGTTAAGGTCAGGCCAGTTTGCTGGCCAATTAAGAACAAGGATACCATGGTCCTTAAACCAGGCACTGGTAGCTCTAATTTTCTGAAATACTGATTTTGGGGTTTTCATTAGTTGTCAGTTATAATCATCAAAATTAAAAGGAATGAACACTTGAAATATATCAGTCTGTTTGGAATGAATGTTTACATTATACAAGTTATACTTTTTGAATGGAATTACTGAAATAAATCAACTTTTTGATGATATTCTAATTATATGACCAGCACCTGTATATGACAAAAGTTCTGTTTGACATTCTCTTTTAATGTAGGACAGTATGAAAGTGTGATTGGGTGTAAGGAGTTAACAGTCTCAGTTAGCTCAGTTTTAACAGTGTGTTTGTCACTATGTGTAAATATTGATTTTTGTAAATATTTAGTTTGGTTTATTTTGTTTCTTTCCTCTGGAAACAGTTTGGTTTTGTTGAGCTAATTGTTTGCTTTTGCTGGGTTGTTTTCTTTTTACTAATTTGTTTAGAATCTCAATTCTGTCTGGTTTTAAATGGTATGTTGTAAAAGCCTTTTAAAAAGTAAATGTCAAAATAAAACGTCTCTGACCTTCCCTACTCCAAGTAAGACGAACCTGTTCATTTGTCAGTGTTGGCTTGGGAAAATTAAATTCCCCAGGTGGTGTAGTGGTTAATATTGCATGTCTTAGAAATTTGTTTTAATCTTAATGTGAGGCCCAAACGATCTGCCTTGCAACATTCGCATACTTGGGTTTGAGACTTTCAGCTCACAATAACAAAGACAAAAGGTAGGCACAGGTGGTCCTGTTGAGCTGGCTGTTTTTCTCATTAATTCTTAGTACCCATTGGCACTAGCTGCCTATACAGCTTGTGCAGCAAAAGCGGCCCATCAGTGGAGCATCATTAGTCCTCCGTCAGTGTGTACATAGGATATGTTCAGGCACAGTATTGAATATAGGTCATCCAACAACAATCACTATGATTACATGTGTAAAGCAGAAGAAAATAGACTTGAAGTGAAAAGGTGAGTGACCCATCGATATGCTGCACCCTTTTGGCTGGATTCTCCCATCATTCAATAAAAAAGTTAGGAGGGTCCTCACAACTGAGTGCTATATTTTGAGTGATGGTTGGGAATTCATATTAAACATATCTGTGTGAGAGGGTTGCCAGTGCCCTGTGGTCTACGCTCTCTCAGCCTTCACATGTCAGCTGTGTTCTGTCAGCTGCTGTCTAACGACCTTCACCCCTTCTTCTGCAGGGGATGCTGGTAAACGGCACACAGGATACCAGTCTTTATATCAAATCCTTGATCTTGACAACAGTGAGCTTTTCCATTGCACTGTTTTGGCTCACCTTGACTTTTCCGGGCCTTCCATCTTGTCAAAAGAGAGAGATATTTGGATCTCAATTGCTAGATGGGTGGAGATGAATTTTGTCCACAAAAGACTTACATCAAGTCATATGATTTGTTCCCTACTCATCTGCATGGTTATACTTGGTGTTGTCAAAAGTGCCAATGGAAAAGTCCTAATGGTAATCCCCGGGAGAGTTGGCCATTAGATGGTCGCTTCAGCCTTTGCTGTGTTAGAGTTTTGACAGGATTGTCTGGCTTCATGAACTTCAGAAATTATGACTCTAAACTATAGACCTCTCCTTGGGTCTTGTCTGACGCCAGCTGTGATGCAATGGAGGCGCCACAGTGGAGGAGCTGGATTCAACCATAATAAATGTTTGGGTTTGACAACATTTGACTATACAGATAATACAATAAAAAGTATAAAAGAGTAAAAAATTGTGGATATACGGTTTAAACTGAGCCTTTTAATATGATACTACTAGTAGATATACTAAGATTAAAAGTCTAGACAAACAAGACAAACATCATGAAGCTCCTACCTCCATCCTTTCTTCTTTATGATTCTTCCCAAGACAACTTCAGCCCTTGGAAGATTAGCAGAGAGAGAGACATGCTGCTTCTTTAATAAATAAAGTTTTTAATACATAAGAAAATTTATAGGCCATACAAAGTTCCTCATGGACCACAAAATAAGGTACAAGGTGAGTTAAAGAGGTCATATTATACTAATTTTCAGGTTCATAATGTTATTTAGGGGTTGTAACAGAATAGCTTTATATGGTTGAATTTTGAAAAAAAACACCATATTTTGTGGTCACACTGCACATTCCTGCAGCTCCTCTTTTCAACCTGTCGAACGGGCCGTTTTAGCCAGCGAGTGAGGCATCTCACTTCAATTCGAGCTTTGTGGGGAGTTGCACATGCGCAGTAGCTAGGTAAGGACTACTAGCCAATCAAAGCAGAGTAGGGCGGGTCCTGACAAGCAAGGTACTGTGATCCAAAACAAAGCCGCTTCAGCGGGTTACCATGGCTTAGGTTCCGCTGTAGCCTACAGTTTGAGCACATTGGACGTGATGTAACAAATGGGAGAGGTGTTTCGGTAATGACTTTCAGTCAAATGCATCTGTGGTTGCAGTTGAAATGTTTTTACTGGATTAAAACCCAATCATTAAGGGAAATAAGTTAAACTTGAGAGACAATTCCAGTGTGTCATTATCACCACATTGTTATTCTGTAGAAGTAACAAAACAACTTGTACAGCATGCAGCCAGCCATCTCTCTGAAAAACAAGAGCCAGCTAGATCAACTTGTGACCACACTACTCATGAACTTAATACCATTTTACACAAATAAGCATTATTTAGCTCAGATTTGTTTCTAAAATAAGTTATCTATTTATGTTAGTAGCCTTAAGGCTATGTTTGCGGCTACTTACAATGTGTAATTATGACAAACACACATATACGTGTGGTGTGTGTGTGTGTGTGTGTGTGTGTACACACAGGCTAGAAATTAAATTCTCATTTGTAACACAAGACTAAATTATCAGTTAGTTATAGAAAACAGGCACTATACAGCCAGAAGTAAAAACCAGGTAGAACAACATTACTTAGGCTGTTTCTTAGTAAGCCATATTTTACGCAGTCTATCCAAGGAAGGTTAAAAATTAATGGATGGACTCATTTATACTGGAAGTGCAAACCTTCACAGAACACATCAACTCTGGACAGTCACATCAATCAAAATTTATTTATCGAGCACTTTAAAAATCCAAAGTGGACACAAAGTGCTATACAGTAAAACAATAAAATGAAGAAAACGGTGGGTTTTAGAAGAGACTTAAAAACAGACAGTGAGGATGCCTCAGATACATCAAGTAGGCCTACACACGAGGGATCTCAGCAACAACCTGTGGCGGTTTTGGGGGCAGCCAACAGGGGCCAGTGCCCTTATGGCCCCCTCTGAACGAAAAAGTCTACAATAATCATAGTAATATCTTCCTTGCCGATATGGCGCTGATGTGTACAATGTGTCTCAACTAGTCGGATCCTTTAGGTACAGTGGGCACGGAAAGTATTCAGACCTTTAAATTTTTCACTCTTTGTTTCATTTCAGCCATTTTCCAAAAATCAAAAAAGTTCATTTTTTCTCAGTAATGTACACTCAGCACCCCATCTTGACAGAAAAAAAAAAACAGAAATTTTTGCAAATTTATTAAAAAAGAAAAACTGAAATATCACATGGTCATAAGTATTCAGACCCTTTGCCGTGACATATTTAAACTCAGGTGCTGTCTATTTCTTCTGATCATCCTTGAGATGGTTCTACACCTTCATTTGAGTCCAGCTGTGTGATTATACTGATTGGACTGATTAGGAAAGCCACACACCTGTCTATATAGACCTTACAGCTCACAGTGCATGTCAGAGCAAATGAGAATCATGAGGTCAAAGGAACTGCCTGAAGAGCTCAGACAGAATTGTGGCAAGGCACAGATCTGGCCAAGGTTACAGAAAAATTTCTGCTGCACTTAAGGTTCCTAAGAGCACAGTGGCCTCCATAATCCTCAAATGGAAGACGTTTGGGACGACCAGAACCCTTCCTAGAGCTGGCCGTCCGGCCAAACTGAGCTATCGGGGGAGAAGAGCCTTGGTGAGAGAGGTAAAGAAGAACCCAAAGGTCACTGTGGCTGAGCTCCAGAGATGCAGTCGGGAGATGGGAGAAGTTGTAGTAAGTCAACCATCACTGCAGCAATCCACAGTCGGGGCTTTATGGCAGAGTGGCCCGACGGAAGCCTCTCCTCAGTGCAAGACACATGAAAGCCCGCATGGAGTTTGCTAAAAAACACCTGAAGGACTCCAAGATGGTGATAAATAAGATCCTCTGGTCTGATGAGACCAAGATAGAACTTTTTGGCCTTAATTCTAAGCGGTATGTGTGGAGAAAACCAGGCACTGCTCATCACCTGTCCAATACAGTCTCAACAGTGAAGCATGGTGGTGGCAGCATCATGCTGTGGGGGTGTTTTTCAGCTGCAGGGACAGGACGACCGGTTGCAATCTGAGGGAAAGATGAATGCGGCCAAGTACAGGGATATCCTGGACGAAAACCTTTCCAGAGTGCTCTGGACCTCAATGGGCGAAGTTTACTTCCAACAAGACAACGACCTAAGCACACGCTAAAATACGAAGGAGTGGTTACAACAACTCAACCGTGGTGGTTCTTGAATGGCCAGCCAGAGCCTGACTTAAACCCAATTGAGCATCTCGGAGAGACTGAAAATGGCTGTCCACCAACGTTTACCATCCAACTGACAGAACTGGAGGATCTGCAAGGAGGAATGGCAGAGGATACCCAAATCCAGATGTGAAAAACTTGTTGCATCTTTCCCAAAAGTCAGGCTGTATTAGATCAAAAGGGTGCTTCTACTAAATACTGAGCAAAGGGTCTGAATATTATGACCATGTGATATTCATTTTCTTTTTATTAGATTTGCAAAATTTCTACATTGTTTTTTTCTGTCAAGATGGGGTGCTGAGTGTACATTACTGAGAAATAAAATGAACTTTTTTGATTTTTGGAAAATGGCTGCAATGAAACAAAGAGTGAAAAATTTAAAGGGGTCTGAATACTTCCGTACC